GGCAAGGTGACATCATTCCTGAGCAAAATTGTGGATAAGGAGAAAACAATTGATGCTCACTTGGATAGTTACAACAAAAAGGGAAGCAAACACAACTCTATTTGTTGCTAATATTTCAAGTTTGGGTGAGTTCATTGTTAAAGAATATTTTCATAAACAGCTCAAGGTATGGTACTTTAGTGTAAAAGACAGTAAAACGTTTATACAGCTTCTCTGAAGAGCCTTAACTTGACCTGAGATGAGGTCAGTGGAGACAGGGATTTTTAAGGGGAATACAGTTCATTTTAGCCACAGTTTATCTACTCATTTTTTGATGAATGAATCGTTTTGTGGGACACACACTGACCAACTTCTCCTGTTCCAGAGGACACTGTGACTCTACCTGAACCTTTCAGGAGCTTTCACACATTGCAACAGAAACTGGACTGACCTGAACTTCCTCAGCTGGGTCCTGGCCTGGGCTACCATGACAGCCCTGTGTGAATGCCAAGGCCAAGTCATTGTGCATGCACAGTTTGCACAACACCCCCAAAGGATGATGTCATGAACACAGGAGACAGTCTGTACATAGTCACAGAGATTGGTAGCTGGAGTCAACTACAAAATTCAGAATTGGAAATTAGGTAAGTGTTTTCCAGAGGGAGACTGGTTAATCCCTAGGAAAAAAAAGATTAAAAGAAAAGGCCCATTCTTCATTTTCACCTTCTGGAGAGTTTATCTTAATCAAAAGGTATGGTTTAGAGGAGAGAAAACTTTAAATCATTGGGGGCATTCAACTGAATGTAACTGTGACAGATGGTATCTGTGCCATTAATAATTCTAGTCCTAAACACTGAGGTTTCATTAACAAGGGTTCTTTAGGCAAACAGACTCTGAAAGTTCAGGCAAAAGGCAGAAGATTCTATATACAAAACATCACCACATTTTATATAGAACAAGTGAAGTGAAATACAAAGTCCAGTTAAAATGATAAAAATCAAGCACGTATACACACCCCAACATCACTTAATTTCACAAAAAATGAGTAACACCTTAAACACTTTAAATACCCCTTACCCTCATCTTTTGTTTCCTAGAACAGCATGCTGAATTTACAAATAGTAAGACCTAAAAAGTTTCAGTATTAACCAGAACTGTCATTTATTTAATGTTGAGAGTAAACATCTATGGATGCGTCAGGCAACATAAATTCATCTTCTCAGCTTGTAAGAGATGTTGTGTATAATTTAAAAATTCTACAAAACCTCCTTGATTTCTCTTTGATGCCTTAGGAGTAAGGCTTATTCCTAATAGATCAACTGTAATAAGCAAATTTTGGATGAATAGAGACCCTTGGAGGTTTATAAATGTCTATCATATTATTGAGACAAACTGTTAATTACATTTTAATGATGTCTAAGCAGTCAATTGAAACTGAAAGAAATTTTACATCTAAATAGCATCTTCTAAAAAGGAAGTAGGGAAACCTTGAAATTTATGTTAATGACACTATAATCACCAGAGAGGGAACTGGTCTCCAAAATTACCACACTCTCTCATTAAACTTTTCAGAGTGAAAACTATTATTCAGTACCTGGCTCCATGCAAATAAATGGGACTAAAGCACTCTAACACACTGCAGTGTGCTCCTGACTCCATGGGGGCCAAAGTCAATGCAACATTTACTTGAGGGAGCAAGTGCTCAGGACACCTGATGGACCATTAGAACCTGCTGCTGCAGTACCTGGCAATTTGAAACATCATGCATCTTTATCCCTGAGATAAGGGCATCCTTCTGGAATTACCGATGAAATTAAATACATTCAAAAATGCAAAATTAGAAATTTAGCATTTTAAGTATTTCTCAGTTAAGAGATACCATGGATATAATTTTAACATGAATCTATCCTTTTATAATGACTTTCATCCAAACTAAATCAAAGCTAATAGCAGAGGTGGGTGAAGATCATGACTACTAGCACAGTAGTCATATGTTGATCACACTGATGAACCCAACTTCTGTTTCACAGCAAGGGGAGAATCTCTGTTTTCCTGCACCAGAAGCACCACTGAACTGTTTGCTGAGCTGTTAACAGGGCTGAAAGCTACTTCACCTTATTTGCACATCTCAAAGGGAAACACAATTTCAGTATGGGGTATTATACTTGTTTTATAGAAAAGAGAATTGGCTCTGGCATCACTATTTCAAGGCTTTTTGTGTTGTTGGGGTGTTTCTTTGCGGGGTTTTTTTTGGAGGTAGTTTTTGATTTTTTATGCTTTGGATTTGGTTTTTATTTGTTTAAAGGGAGTGGCAAAGCCAGCATAAGTAAAGCTGTCTCAGACCTGAAATGCAATACCAAGTAGCACTTCCCAGCTTTAGGCTATCCTTTACCTATCCTGTTGGTGGGTTTGGCTCTCTTGGGCTTTTACATCCTAATCCAAGCCAGTTAGAAATGCTTACAAGGTGCTCTGCTCTGTGTTGCAGTGACTGCTCACTGTCTCTGCAGGGTTTGCAGAGCAGTTTTGTTCAGCAGTAAAGGAGCAATCAATCACTGGGACTTAAATGATACTGCCAAAGATCCTACTGCTACATCATGAGCCAGGAAATTACTCTCAGACTTCTCTTATTATGTCTTAGAAGGACCTCCCACACATCCCCACACCATTAATGTTACATAGCATAGTTTCCTCATTTGCACCACACAGTTCAGTAATCTTGCACCTACTGTGTGCATGGCAAGGCTACTTCCAGAGGGAACTTGGCATTGTTAGGAATTGGTACAAAGGAATGTGACCTACTGCAACAAACTTTTCACTTAAATTACTTTGTGGACTTTCTCAATTTAATATTTTCTGAGGTAAGACATGCAAATAAATGACTGATATTCAAGACCCATGTGGACAGAATCCTGTGCCATGTGCTCTGGGATGACCCTGCTTGAGCAGGGAGTGTGGACCAGGACCCACTGTGGTCCCTTCCAACCTGACCCATTCTGTGATGCTGTGACTGCATTTCTTACAAGGAGGTGTTAATTCTCTTACACTCTACTGAGAGCTTGGCACCCTAACAATTGCCATAATTCAGCAGAATCTCCTGTGTATCTCTGACACAATGGGTTACATTTTTTCCTATGTTATGGTTCCTCTAAAACGATGTAACATATATATACATACATACATAATCTAGCAATAATGTATGTTAACCTTTCTGCAGTTCTGAGGTGAGAAACTATGAAGACAGGTAACCCTAAAAGGCACAGGGGGAAAATTAAATTTCTTCATGAGATAGTTGTAGAACATATACTTTGGATAAATAATATACAGTTCAGGCTAATAGAATAGTCATAGTCACAAAGGAAAGATTCCTTTCCTTCCAGCAGAGGACACTTTGATTACATCTTATCCATAAAGAACCAAGGACAGACAGACACAGGAGAAAAAAAGGAAAGACTTGAAAAGCAGAAAGCATGGGATTGTGTGAAATTGGACAGAAATTTAATAACAGATTATCTGCACACCCCTTATGTACAGACCCAAAAGCTGGTAGGCAATCTATAGATGAAATAGTCATGTCATGTTTGCAGTTGTATGTGCCAAGTCTTGTTATTTTACCCAGTTTAATGAACTAACAGATAAGAAAGTGAACAAAATGAATGTATTATTCCCTTCAAAACTTTTTCAATACTGTGATACATTCAGCCCTCAGAACTGGAAGGTACATTGGGACTTCAGAAAAAAAGGCTGCTGAAAATAATGTTATATTCATTATGAAAGGTAATGATGGCTTCAAAGATGCCTTCTAGATTTAGTAAAAAAAAAAAAAAAACTATGATAACATAATCTACATCCATATATTCCTAAAATTACTTACTATGTATAGATAAGAAATACAGGGACAAGACTCATCAACTGTAACATCCCTGTGAATGCTATTTTGAGTTTCTTAATTGAATTGAAAACGTTTCTTCTCTTCCAGCTAGCACAGTGACTGCTTCTCTAATTGCTAAATTGAGGCTGATTTAAACAGAATGTTTGCATTTGTACATTACATGAATGTGTACATTTGAAGTTATATTTCATCAAGCACTTGACAGAAAAGTAGTGATTAAAAATATTCAACATAAAAATTTAAAGAGAACCTCAAATATTATCCCTCGATTCTTTGGACTAGAACTGAAAATTCTCTTGAAATTCAGGCAAAGAATCTTAAAAGAGGGAAATAAACCGGAAAACCCAGAAATTTTTTAAAATGAGGCTTTCAGAATCCAAATAATAGCATTAAAGTGAATGGTTACGGATGAAAATAAACCTATTTGTTTACAGAATGAATTTGCAAAGTCAGTTTCAAGTACAGTCTTTTTCTCTGACACCCTCTAATTACACTGTAAGCGCAGTGCTGCCAAGAGGTTTCTTTTGTGTTTGCAGCCTTGTTTTATTAGTTCTTCATAGCTCTTGGCAGCTGCTATGAGTCAGTGTACTGCTTTTACAAGGAGGTGCGTGAAAGACAGCATTAAATTATTATATAATTGATGCAAATAAAAAGCTAGGCTGCTTTTTGTCTGTATTTGCTGACAGGCAAATAAACTGAAGCTGCTAGGGTTTATGGGGAACCTTTGACATCTAGAAACAGAAGTAACACTGTTCAATAGATAATACTAAAGAGATTTTTCACCCTTTTGGAAAAGAAAATCTACATAGTGAGTCACTAAATACGTATCTATTTTTTCAGAATTGCACTGAAGGCAAAAGCACAGGATTAATGACAATGTGAAACGGAAAAATGTCTCTCATAAACCTATGTTCTTTCACAATTGAAATAATATTGTACAATTGACAGACTCTGAATATTTCCCCCTATATTTTATATGCAGCTCTAAAAACTTCTACACTGCAAAGAAACATCACTACTAAAATGCCATAGCAGATGGTCTTGCTTCTCATTCCACATTTGGGTAAAACAATAAAAATCCTGATATTTGAATCAACTTTAAGCCAAAAAGTCACATAAAAACAGTACTCACTTTTTCTTTAGTCTTCTGTCCTTTTCTGCTTGTGTTCCAAGTTTGCCTAATCCCAGAGATTCCTGAGCTGCTGCCTCTGTTTCCATGTAACCTCCTGGAAAATAAAACAAACAAAAACGCCACCATATTTTTCCTTCTCTCTCTTCTGTTGTTCCCCTCCTTAACCCTTCAATTCCCCTCCCACCCACCTTCATCTATATTTGTTTTCTTAAACTGTGACATCTGGTGTATGTGGACAACATCTATCACCTGCAGAAGTAAATTCTGATGAGCATTTACCACATTGGAAAATGTAGTAGAGGAAAAAAAAATGTTTTCTCCTCCTCGTGTTTAGCGGAAACGTATGACACAAGCATCCTTATCTCCTTTACCTATTTTTATTTGCCTCCCAAGGCTCAGTCTCGTGGTGCTAAGTAAGCAATGCTCTCAGTTTTAATCTTAGTTGAGAAATGTACAAATGAAATTGCATTCTCTCAAATTGTCTCTCTACTATTGCCATCATGCAGCATCACCTAAGGCAGTAGTGCTAAAGTCTTCATTTTGCTTTCATAGAGGGTCTTGGATGTCATTTTCCGTGAAAACTCCCAAACATGAGAAAAGAATCTGTCAGAGATAAGTAAAAAGCCTCCTACATCTCCCTGGATGTGTCTTGTAGGCACCTAAATGTGGTCAAAGTCAAGGGAACTTGAATAACTCACACAAAGTGACAAAGGAAGCTTGTAGTAAGACATGTGGACCAAAATAAAATAATTTTAGAAACTAAGGGCATGACTGGTCCACATGGCCACTGACATGACTTTCCTAGCACAGAAATGGAAAATGGTCTGACATTTTTATCGCTGCCCTGGTTCAAGAAGAGGGGACCTGCTCATGGAGCTCAGAACAGTCTCCAGGCTCTGGTTCACACTGTCCTCTCACTCCCACTCGTGTGTGTGCAGACAGAGGCCCTGCAGCACTCCTTTGAAGGCTGCCTTCCTCCTGTGCTCCACCTTGGAAGGAAGGTGTGCAACTGGCACAAGAAAGAAGACCACAGTATGGTAAAATGTTGATGCTTGACTCCATTTGAACATAGCAATTTCCTATTTACAGCTAGTGGATAGTGAACAATTGTATAGTGGATGCAGGCATAATAAAAAAAACACAAAGTAAATTAAAATATTTCTGTCCTGATATGTTGATTTTAATAATAAAATAATTCATGAATGTTATGAAGTGAAATAGCACCACAGCCTTTTGCAAGCTAGATTTACATGCACCTCAATCAAGTGAGAACAAAAGCTACTACTGCATCATGTCTATGACAAAAACTTAGAAAAGCTTGGGTTTAAGCTGTTCTTTCAAAGCAGGTGCCATTTTAGCACTCCTATTTGTCCAGATAGATTTTTAATTTATTGAAAGAGGACACTACTGCAAGTCTCACAATGAGAATGATGCAAATGCATCTCACAAATGCAGAAAATAGGAATGCACACTTTTTTTTCACTTCATCTGCCTGTCAAAGTCTGATAGAATCTCATTAAATGCTTCTTGCTGGCTCTGGATTACATTTTTCATTCAGCAAATAGTCATAAACATACCACATCTTTCTTGAGAGAGCAGCTCTCAGTATGTTGGACAGGGATGGGACGAGTGCAGTGCAGTGAGGGTTTATTACAGGTTGGAGAGTAGTTGGGGCATAATGCATTTCTCCATTCTCCAAATACATTTGGCCTTCAAATAACTGAGGGTACTCCTCCTATCGGATGTGGCCACAATAAATGTTTCCTAACAAGCCGACCTTTCCATTTGCCATGCAGATCAGCTTGCTTGGGCAATTCTAAAAATGCCAGGAATGTATTGTTTGTTTTAGGGTCTAGAATATTTAAAATGTAACATGAGAAAAATACAAAAGTGATGCTTGCCAAGAGAGAGAAGACTGGAAAAGAAGGAAAGAAAAAAAGCAGGAAAGAATGAAAGAAAGCGCACTTGTTCTCCCTGTAGCATTCCTTTTTTCTTCTCCAAAAACTTAGACAAAACTTAAGGAATCTAGAAATCTTGAATCTCAATTCCAAGAAAGATCTCCTAAAGCATGAATGTGGCTTGAAACAATAAAGCTAATGGTCTAGCAGAGAATGTAAAATGATCAAATAATAAAAGAACAAAATTCTGGCAAGTTTAGGAATTGAAAAGAAATAATTTCAGGGGTTTGCAAGGAATACAGCGCAAGGAAATATTTTGTGTAATAGCACGGCTCTGTTGATCTTAGTAATACAAGCCTGGAGGTTTCAATACTGTTTCTTAAATAAGAGTATATAAATGTGTGCTTTTAAAGAAAATTTCTTTTTCATATTAAAAAATGTAAGAAGCATGTGTCTATATTAAATTAGAGTGTTTAATTTAAGCAAGGAAATAAACTGCCTTCTTTTATTGATTTTGCAATATTATTTTAGGTTATAAAAACCATTCAAATATTTTGCAGTGCTGTAGTGATAGGACTTTCTATGTAAATTTCTGTGATGTAGTATCTTACCACAAATAGAACTCCTAATTATATAGCTGCACAGATAACACATCTGTTGTGAAACTGAGTCAACTACTCCCATGACTGCTTTTTTTAAAATTTCATTGTCCCTTGCAACTCAGGATATTCCATGATTCTATATGTCATTGAGTGGAAATGACCACTCAATAAATGCTTTTCTTTTGATATGTTAAAAATTAAGATGAGAAAAATTACCAGTAATTCAGCTGCTCAATGTCTTTTTAATTTCTGAAAAATATTTTTCTCCTACCTTCTGATTAAGTAACAGTCTTACTGTTCATTTTATACATGCTAGTAAACCTCGTTTCCTTAATTAAAATGTGCATTATATTGAAATTTTGCTCTTGAATTAAAGAATGGAAGTCACAAAAAATTCATATTATTGCAAATCACTAATATATTTTAGCAATTTCATGACCTAGTATGGGGAATTACAGATGGGCTTTATCAAATTCTATGTATGTATTATTAATCACGGTGGGTATTAGGAAATTAATCTATTGCCAGATTTCATTGCTCCTGAGATACTCTTTGAAACTGTTATTTCATTTTTTTTCCACATTCCAAAGAACTGCAGGGAAGACCCACACATTTATTGCATCTTTGTCCTCTATGTTCCTGACTTACTGAGAAATTGTAGATTATTATCCATAAACCATCAGTGTCAATAAGAAATATTATATGGAATGTAAATGTGAATTAATAAAGTCTAAATTTGGATGCAGTCTAAAATTTTAAAATTAGCCATAAATGCAGATGGTGGCCTACAGGTGTATTCGAAAGACTCATTTATAGAGTCTCATTTGAAAGACTGAATAAATCAGTTTTATAGTGAAAAAAGGGGGGGAATTCAGATTGCAATTAGAAATTAGGTTTTTTCAAGAACATATAGTTTTCACAGGCAGAGAGGAGAGAAGTTGGAGTATAAATGAAGAATACTTAGTTTTTCAATTTTACTCTGATACTTTGACCATAGGACTATCTTTCTTTATTGTGTACTATTTTAGCAATGGGTTTGTTAGTTCTGCTAAGGACATGTGCAAGAAAAACATAGGTTTTTAATTTCAGGCTTATGCTTGCTGCCTAAGTGTTTACTGCAAGGCCTTAAAATTCTTTTTACAAGGGTCACATGGTCACCACGGCAGTAAAATTTAATGCCTCACAAATTTGTATTATTTGACATCTGTATGACTAGGCAAGAGCCAGTATTTCAATTTTATTGACACATTTACTACAATTTGATATTTGTGTTGGAAAATTTTTGCCATGAATGAAGTAGAATGAAATAGTCTCGGCAAGGGAAAGGACAGAAGAAGTAGGGAGAAAGCTAAGCACTACTGTGAGCAGCATAATTGTAAAAGTAAGAGTTATCCTGAGGACATTCAGCTATAGGCAATAGAGAGCATCTATCAACACACTGAAATCTGAAAAGCAGCTACACTTGATTGCAAGGACATTCTGTATCACATAGGTACACCACCATTATAGCCATTTATTGCTAATTAACTTCTCACCTCCTCTTTATGTGGTTATTGAAGAATACAGTGTTACCATTGCTACCCTAATTCCACAGACTATTGAAGCACCAGGTTCAGTGAAGAAGATGACTCCAGTAATTTGTGCCCAAACTCTCCTTTCATTTACATTACAGTCATGGCAAACTCTTGACAAATACAACTGCTGATAACAGTGAAATTTAATGGGAAAGTTGTGCCAGACAAAACAGAAACATGAGTGAATTGGAAACTAAAAAAAAAGAGCAAAATTAAAAATGGAAAAATGGCAGTGAAATGGTGACCTTAGCTTGTTACCACTAATTCCTTACTGAGCTGTCCAAGTCGAGCCTTCTCTTTTTTACCGAACAATCGCCCAATTGAAGACTTGATTCCTTTCTTCTTGGGAGCTTTGTGCAGGGAGTCCTGGCTGCTGCTGACACTGCCCAGACCAATGCTTTCTGGCTCCAGTGAAGCAGGCAAACTACTGCAAAATTATAATAAAGAAATAGAATAGATAACATGTCAACATCTTTATTTTCTTCTAAGCAGCTCTGCAAATAAATTATTTGGTAATAATTTAGTAATGATCTCCAAACAAGTGAAACAATCACATCTTTAAATTATTTAGCAACATAGAGAGCAACAGAAGACCACACTTTCTCTGTCAGGCAAGGCTGAAAATAAATATTTTTACTTTGCTAAGAACAATTTATGAAAAATACAGTAGTCAGCATTCTGATTTTATTTCTGGGATTTGTAGCACTGCTACTTCCATTAGTCATCAAAACTGTACCTCAAAACAGAAATACCCTTAGCACTGATAAACATTTTCAGGGTCATTGCAACAGACAATGGGTAGGGTTTTTTCTGTCATTATACGAGAAACAGGGAAGAAATCAAGTTATTTTGGAGTAGTTAAACAACATGACTTGAAAACAACAATACTGTGAAGTACCAATCCATGTTACAAACATCTTACCTTCTGGCATCATTGTGGTACGAAGAAGGAAGGGTGTGAGTCATCCTGATGGCTCTGGGTGTTGGAGGAGGAGAAGTTTCACATTTGATTGTGGCTTTATCTTCACGCCCATCTTCTTCAACTACTGCAATCTGGGGGAGAGAGACTCCAATGAGAACATACTAGCTTTTCAAGAATGTTTCAATACACACCTCATGAAATTGTCAAGTGGACTGAAACACATAAGATTTCAAATGCAATGTTTCTAGCAAATTGTAAGGGTTCTTTTTTTTTAAATATGGCAGATTAAAACGGATATTTAAAAGAAATGAGACTATGCTTTTGGAAGAAGTTCATCCCTTTTATGCTAAAAATGTTCGGTGAAGGTCTAAACATGAAGACAATCTTAGTTGTAAGTGGGTCCCTTGCATTAAACAGGATTATTAAGGTTTACTAAGTTTCTCAGGGATGTAAGAGAGAAGGTGAATACAGGCATAAACATGACCACTCTCTTCACAGTGCGTTACCAGAATGGTCACTATGCTTAACAGCAAGCATGGACAAACAGGGATTTTGCCAGACCATTATAATGATTCATCTTAAATAATGTCATGGAGTTTCATCATCAGTGCCAGTTCCATAAACAAATTTACATTGCTCCAGAAGATTTCAAGGAATCTCTCTGTCGTTCCTCCAGCAAGAAGAGTGGCTGAAATACATTTGAAGGTTATGCTTTTGCGTCCATACTTCTTTAAAAATAAATATTCCTTTAAGTTTGTGTTGTTGAGGCTGCTACTGCAAGATATCACTCAGTGGGCCTTGCTTCTGTGGCTTAGCTGTGACCCCTGGAAGCCATTCCAGGTAGGAGTAATGATTATGTTCAGGCACAGAATGAAAATGAGAGAAGGGGATGCAGTTGCTGGCAATGGACCCCAGCAAAGATTTAGTTATCTAAATAGCAGAGGAATATGATAAATGGGCTCTCCCAAACTTTAAAAAGCCCCAGTATCATACCTTTCTTCGATGTTTCCTTAGGTCGCTTGGCTTCGATTGGTAACAAAAGTGGAAACAACAAAAAATAACAATTAATAAATATTATTGAAGCATAAAAAGCCCCTCACATTTGTTGTTCTCACATTCATGAAGTGGGAAGAAAAGACTAATCACTCTCCATATTATATACTAAGTATACGCTTACCCCATTAATGTAATATAACCCCTGAAAAATATGTCATTCTGGGAAAGTTGGTTTGGGTATTTTTCCTAAAACTACACTCTCCTTCGATTTCATAACTTAGCAAAGAATTTCAAGCCTATAGCAGCACTTTCCATTTTTGAGTTTTCATATAAGTACTTAGGTTATCCTCAACGGAGACTTTTTTTTAGAAATTTTATCAAATACAAATATATTGGTGTCCCACCAAGTAAAATCACAAAATATCATCACCAAATACCATAACTGAAAAAAAGACTGGCATTTTCAGGAAATGAGTACATATTCACCTATCTTCTTCAGCATTACTTGGCAGTAGCAGACTACTAGAATCGGTCTTTTTCAACCCCCTTTGCATTTTCATTTTTGGTAGATGTCTCTTTCATTTAAGGAAAGCTGAAGATAATCTGCAGAATTTATTTACTACATGCACCTGGGCTGTGGAAACTCATGCAGTCCTCCTTCTCCAGCCAACCAACACAGGGCTATTTGGCAAATTGAGCTCTAGAGATTGGACTTCAATCTCTTCCCAACTCCAAGTTTCACTTAAAGGATGTCTGACAGACTTGTGTCAATAGGAAGTGATATTGAATACTGAACTCCTGCTGCAACTGGCTGATGAAGGTGAGCAAAGCTGTGGGCTGTGTGGATTACCACACTATGGGGGGATGCTTCTACTGCTTATGGCAAGTCAAGAGTTCAACTGCAAGTCAGACAGACAATTCCAACTGAGTTTTAGCACAGGTAGAGCTGGATGTCAGCCAGATCATGGCAACCTGAAATGCAGAGGCTATGCTGTCATTTTGTGTTCGAATCTGATGGACCTACTGACCCAAAGGTACAAATTTCAAATCCAGGCCACCAGGTAGTGCACATGTCTGCTGGTGGGGCAGTTCAACCATTGCCATTTACTGACAGCCAGACTGCTTTCTTTGAATGGCTGGGGAAAGGGAACACACTGTGCATTTGGGAAGGTGCTGCTTTGGTGAAGTAGGTGGCAGGACAGCAGCCTGCACACTCACCTCCTCCCCAAGGACCTCTGCAACCAGTATCTTTGTTTCTGCTGTTCAGCAGTGGGAACTGGGAGCAGCAAAGAACAAGTTACAACTGCCTGCCAGGACCTTCCCCCTGCTGACCTCACATCCCAAGTGGCAGCAAACACCTTACTAAACTGGGAAGAGCAGAGGTGGGCATGAGTGGTTGTCAGTTCCCAGGAAAAGGGAATACTTGGCTAGGTGATCATCCACAAAAGTCCCTACTCCCAGCTGAGAAGAATGAACAGCCAAGCCCCATTTCCAGCTGCTCTTAACAACCTTTTTTGTTAGGAAAGGCTCCAGAGGGAATCATTGCTATTGCTTCCCAGGAATAGACCACAAGGGGACATTGGTGACATGATTATCAGAGAAAAAGCAAGTAAAAATTTGGTTTACACATACCCTCTTCTATTCCCTTTATGAGATCAGCAGAGTGGTCTGCTTTGATTCTCTCCTGGCACTTAAAGGGATTAATTCACTCTGGCTCCAAACTGGTTTGTATCTCACACTGAACCCTGCATCTGTACTCAGATCAGTATCAGAGGTGTTCATCTTAAATATGTTGACACATACTATCTTCAAATATTTGACAGATGTACTATTTCTTTTTGTCTAGGATCAAAATTAAATTCCTTGTAAATCCCTTTTCAAATTGAACCAGAAATTTTTGAATGTGTCCTCAAAGATACAGCAATGTTATAAATTATTTGCATAGTAATTTCATGGTGACTTGATGTCTATGTGCGAACCACCTGTAATATTGAAATATATCAGCTAAATGAATTACTGGAAACCAAAGAACTCATTTCATTGTGCATGATATATGGTCATGAAGAATGTATAAAAGCACTGCAAGTAGAAAAGAGTATACCAAATATAAAAGTATATCAAAATGATCACATATAAGAAGTGGTGGAATGTCTGAATGTCTTCTAGATATTTCCTGGAAGTTTAAAGTCAGCAATAGTTCCACAGACTATTGTGTAATAACTGCATCACTTAAGAACTTTCCATTAGTAAACATTTTTTACAAACAAGTAATTCCAGTGAGCAGTTCTGTCTCTTATTAATTCCACAGTCTGTGTGCTAAAGGCCCTCAGTAATCCTGTCACTATGCCCCTAGTGAATCATGCAATGCTCAAAACCACTATAACAAAGCCCAAAGACACCAAATGCCCACATTCAAGAGAATTTGCTATCTGTATGGATGATGAAGACGTGAATGAAGAATTATAGGGATGAGCCAGTCATAGAATGAGAAGATGAAGTACTTAATACAAGAAATATCACATCAAATACTGTCATAAGGTTTCTTACCAGTGTCATAACCCCCATTCTGTCCATCTCCCTGGCTGGACTGCGAGGGGTGAGTTTGGGAGTTGAGTGTCCGCTGGGAGGAGATGAGCTCGCAAGGGACGACGCTGTCACCGAGCCAGTAATGGAGGTGCCTTGGTGCACTCTGGCTAGGTTCAACCCTTCCAGACTCACACTGGCCACTCTGTTCTCTATCTCTTCAGCACGCAATTCTGTCGACTCTTTCTCTTCTTGGATTAACCTTATTAAGTAAAAGAAGAATGCTCTTGTTGTATTTGTCTCTTCATATCCCCATATGAGATTTGAAAGTAAGAGCAAACAAAGATGAATATCACAGATAACTAAAAAAGACTCTTTTCCAACATTATTTTCCTAATCACCAGTTATAAAATTATTTTTCTCAAGTCCTCCATCCTCAAAACCTGTTTGATGAATGTGTCCAACAGCAAGACTTGATGTATGACATTTCAGGAATATTGGTTCCTTTGCAAAGAAGCTAGGGCAGGGGGGTTAACAATCCGATTTACCACAGATAACTAATTCCAAGCTTACGTTGGCTTCATCTGCTTATCTTTTGCTAAATCACAAAGTTAAGAGTCAAATGAAATTGGGCCTTTAAGAAGGGAATTGCTAAAATAATCCTTATTAATAAAACAAGAGAACATGTAAAACAAATTGTCTGTTTTACCCCTACAGTTTGATGAAAAAATGATAGCTGTTTCTAAAACCCTGTGTTTTTAAATGAATTTCATTAAAATCACTTTCTTGTTAGCAAGCAATACAAGCTTCTTAAGTGTCTATCACCTCAACAGGACACTTCCATTGGGTTCTTTCATTTTGTTTTTTAATTGTGATTGTACCTCAAATGGAAAAATGTCTTCAAAGTAAAATATTTGTTTATAAGTCCTTTGCCCATAAACCTGTGCTAGGAGTAGCCTTTTTTGCAGAGGAGGAAAAATTATGAGAGATCAACGTTAAATGAGAGAATACGAATTCTAGGGAGGCTGAAATTGTGAACCAGACTTTTCTGAGTGAAATTAAGCAAGTACAATAATTAAGCCATAATATATTGAAAATAAAACCCTCCTGTGCTGTGATGAATCTTCTTCCCTAACATCAATTTCAGAATTTGTATAAAACACATGCAGCTCTTCTTGAAATAATGCAGGGAAAAAACTTAAAGGCCAATAATATTTTGCAAGGGAATTATAACAGTGTTTTTCATTTTAGTAATCTAAATCCTGAATCATCTTGTATGATAAAACAAATCTAAGGCAAAATAAATTTTTAATCAATTTTGATATCTCAAAAAATTTGATAAGCCCTTATCGTGTTTGTCAATTCAAAAAAAACAAACCAAGAAAACATGAAATGCAGTACAGCTTATACGACAATACTTGTAGAATGATTTTCCTGAACCACATAAAAAAATTTACAAAATGACATATCTAGTCCTTTAATACTAGTTGCTATGATAATAAAAACCTATATTTCAGTACAAGATTAGCAGTTGAGAAAATAAACTACTCTCAGTAGACTTCCTGTAAAAATGGCTGTATAAAAAGTGCACACTTGCTTCCCTTTTGAGGTAAAACTGTACCTAATATCTGAGTCAGGACCCTGGGTTAAGTACAACAGTGATCTGATTCAGGGTGGCACAAATAATATCCCACCTGGAAGTACTGCTCCTTGTGAAAGCGCTTTACTGTATTGTTAAACCAACAAAAGACTAGTATTGTTTAAAAAAAAATATAAATGTTACATCTACAGCTTCCTGAGCTGGCCACAGTGCTGACTTCCTTTTAATAACAGAAAATATGGATAAGGTTCTTTCTTTTATGTACACTGTTTTAAGGAGATTTACCTTCCCAACACCAAAATATGTCTTTGATTCTGTATCTTGACAGGTGTAGGAAAAGGCTTGATAAAGCAGTGTAATCCTATCTGAACAAACACATTCTGGGAGAGTAAAAAACGCAAAGCTCTAGATTTATAATAAAATGTTTTTCCCTGAACAGAAAAATTACTCAAATTCAATATATTCCAACAGAGTTCTTCCTTTAAAGTTACCTTGATCAGAGAAAGTTACCTTGATTATCTTTTGGCAAATCAATCTATCTTGATTATATTTCTAGCCACAGTATTTCTGTCTATAGTATTACCAGAAGGTCCCTAACACATTTACTATAATTTCCTTCATCTCCTTCTACAAGAACAGTCAGTAATGAAGGGATGTTTTTCATACACCAAGTTTTTTTAAAGTTGCCCTTACTGAAAACATGTAAGAATGTTTTAGTCTTGAAATATGGTTTCCCTTATAACAATCACTTAATTAAAACATGTCATTTGACATGTTTTAATTAGGTGATTGTTATAAATGAAACCATGTTTCTACCACTCAATTAAATTTGCACAAATACTGTTAATATATATTCTATTCATTACCTATATCCAAGCTCTATAATCCAACTTGGAGCATGAAAAATCATATTCTGTGTCTACAGAGAAAATCAAAACTGTGTCTTAGAATTCATGGCTTAGATTAGATTTAACATAGGGAAAATTGCCAGAAGACAGCATGAAGAGCACAGAAATGAAATATTTCCAATAGGAGGCTGTTACTGAGCAAGTGGAGTCATGTATAACAGTGAAAAAGACCTTGAAAAAAGGACTGTGAACAATAATTCGTGAAATCTGCCATATGTTAGCCTCTTCTAACTTACTTTTCTTCAACTGGCCAACAGTTCTTCACTTGGAATGTTTTTTGAAAGAAATTTCTATGGTTAGGAAAGAAAGACTCAGTTGTTATCTTCACACAGGACTCTCCTCTGGAAAGCAGACACATTATCAATCCTCTAAATGAACTAGCTGTTTCCTAACTGCCATGAATGGTACCTGAACTCAAGCACTAAAGGAAGCTGGAAGCTGTAACCCTAAGTGCACCCCAGCTGGTTCAGACTACACACCTGATTTCTTTATTGATTGCATCTAGCTGCTCCTGGAGCATCATGGCCAGGGTCTGGGCATCAGAATGGCCACTTGGTGACAGCAGGTCCATGGAGCTGAACAGCGTTTCTCTGTCGTCATCATCGATGTCCGACATCTCGGTGTCGCTTTCGAATGGATGGCTGCTCAGGACACCGATCTGCTGCGACCTGTTCCACTCGTGATCACCAAGGGATTTTACCTGAGCAGCAATTAAAACATGCATGGCTTATGTCAGGGAAAACTGCAAAGTTGAACTTCAAAATAAATGGGAAAGGAAAGCAACTAACACTTCAAAATACTTATTCAATTAGAAGTGCTCCATTAATGCTCACAGTATTACTGCAAATGGCATATATTCACATAATTGTAATTTAGGTATCAAATTACTGTAAGGAAAATTTATACAAAAAGATACTCTGGAAAGACAAATAATCAAGTATGCTTGAACTCTGATGTCCAAACTTCAACTTTTTCTGCTGTCATATTGTACAACAGTTCTCTGAGTGGGTATAGAAAAAAACCCGAACTCTGGGTTGGGTTTTCTTGTTTGGTCGCTTTGTTTTTTTGTTTTCTTCCTGGAAGAAAACTCCACAAACTGTAAGCCTAACAGCCTCAAACACATTCTCTTATCAGGGAATGTACGAGAAGGAATTGGGGATTAACCTTTGGTTCATCTCTGCGTACTCCCATCCGGCCTCTTCTAGGTCGCCTTATCACTTTAGTTGACCGATAGTCAGACTGGCTATCAACCAGTGAGCCCACTGAGTACCTCAGCTCTGTTGATGTGTCAAGATGAGGTCTAAAAACAGAATTACATAAGTGGACTGAGAGAGTAATAGGAATAACAACAACAATACAATGACCTTCAGTCTAGCAACACAGATTTCTTTTTTCAAGCAAACTTTCATGTATTGCATAATAAATGAGAAAAACATAATTTAAAAATGAAAAATTGAAATAATTTTATGAGAAAATTTAGGGAGAAACCAAACAATAAAACCTCTGGTTTTTTTTAAATGAAAGCTGTGCATAGAAAAACTTATTGTCCAAAACTTTAACAGGAAAAAGCACATTTCAGGATAATTAGAACTGGCAGCTAAATGTATTTTCCTGTATATTCATAAATATGCCTGAGGTTACTCTAAGCATGTTACATGTTCATGAGTGAACATATTGATTAAATGAAAATATCAGCGAACTGACCTGTGATATTTAACCTTGTTTAGGAATTACTAATCTTTACTTGTCAACACTTTCAGTGCTTTAATTCCCATTTTTCCCTGTAGCCCTGGTAAGTCTAGGGATATTGCTGTAAGGCTTATACAGGATGACTTCAGCACCTCTTTTCTTGTTTACAAACAGTGGTCCCCTCTTTGTCCTTAATCAAACAGCAGCACCAAAAGTGCACTGCTTAGTGCAGCAAAAGCATCCTAACCATGGGCTGTGGAACCAAGGTGGAAGAGCAAAGGCTCCATGCACCATTTGAGAATTCAACCACAATAGTAGACACCTGAACAATTTCTGTTTCTCAACACACCTGCAATTTCCACATAAAAATATATGAATAGCATGATTACAGTAAAAATTGAAATGTAACAAAAAACCCACATAGGGAAGTGACAGTTTTTATCTTCTGTGTACAGTAATTTTCTCAACAGAACTTTGTTCTCATAATCCATACTATTTGGCAGTTGTGAAGCAAGTTGGCAGGAAAAAAGGAACAGTCCAGGCTGCAGTCTCTAGCTGTAGATATTCATCTGCTGATCAGCTTCATTATTTTCCTGAAAGCACAAACTCCAGCCAATACAGAATTGAATACAGGCTGAGAATAGGAAGTATTTAATGCTCAGAGCTTGCTGTGCCTCAGAGAGTTGGGATCTTCATGAGGTCAGGGAAAGCACACTGTTTAGTGGAACCTGCTGAATTTCCAAGATATTTAGATAGCTTATCAAGTTCAAACAGTCCTTTGACAAGGGCTAATCAGCTCCTGTTTACGGAGCACAAGCTAATGATATTCATCTACCTAGCAAGGAAAGCTGCTGTTCTCCAAGGATGCTCCAAAAACCAAAGCTGCTGTTGCAGCAGCTCAGTAGCCTCTGTCCCTGCAAGCACTTTCAAGAAAAATGTGTTGTGTGCCTGTAGTCACATTCCCAAGGGAACAAAAATTCAAAAAGTTAAAAGCATCACATTCTGAATTTCATCAGCTTACATTTCTCCACATATAGAAAAATATTATTACAAGAAATAATAAAAGGTTGAGGTAGAAACCATGTCCAGGTACTGAGCAAGGTGTCTGAGGACATCAGTGGGCAGGCAACAGCTGATGGAAAAAACCAATCCATTGAACAAGAGTAATGTTTAGATGAATAGAGTGCTCCCAATTCAGTCTTGGTCCATGAGCTTTGTCTGGCAGGTGTGCTGGCAGGTTTTAAAAACTGACATGCTGCTTGTTATGAAAACAGCACATGGCACAGAGTTATCAATAAAGCAACAATTTAATCTCAAGGGACACTTTTAAGCAAGAAGGAATTTCTAGAATGATACATTCTTTGCAGCTGTTAGTGGTTATTTTTATGGCATTTGTCTCACTATTCTTCCCATATTGATTTTCCATCAAAAAGAGACAAAACGTTTAATGTCTGATTATGATGTTTTCAGATCTCTCTGAATAATATCTTCACATTCAGCTTAAGTTCTGTGGTCTTTTGCTAGACACTAAGTACAGCTGAGTTATGCCTTGCTAATAAAGAAAAAGAAAATATTTATAGAACAAACATGATCATAAATATGCTGATCAGTTTCAGCATTAAAGAGGATTGTTTCTAATTTATATTTAAGGTCTGGGAAAAAAGTTGTGTATTTGGATATACTTTTAAAAACATTTCATAATTTAAAAGACTTTCGCTAATCTCCATAATATTTCAGTGTATCCTCACTGATATAAGGCCCTGTGTACTGATGAAAAAAGTGAAAAGCAACAGTAAAAATAACTGCAAGGATTTTACATTTTAAAACAAATACATGGCCACCTTTATGCGTGGCTTGAACACATCCCTGCTGTAAATGCTTGCCATTTATATTTATATCTATTTCAACTTAAAATGAGAAAACCTTTGCCACAAAATATCACCTTGACAAGGTGGGTTCGATTAAAGAACCAGCCCTCATTTTCATTTGATCCAGTTCAGACCTCAGTTTCTCAATTTCTTCAGCAAGTCTTTCCTGGAAATAAGAGAGTAAGATATGCTTACTTGTGATACAAAACACATTTATTTTATGAGCTATTGCTCTTGCACAGTTAAACAAGCAAGCAAAGATATACTGAATGGAACACTGGCTATAATAAGAAAAGGAAGCTCATTTAAGTCTCACTACTACTAACGAGACATACACATCAAAAGGAGGTGATATAGCACTCTGCTGTTTTACCACTGCCTGGATGTGTCGGAAGGACAAGTTTGTACTTGAAATTTACTTTTTTTTTCCTACCATAAAGCCAGGTCATTGTGTGACTCATCACTTGCCCTATAGAGACCAAGATTAACAGTTGCACTCAATGATCTCTGAGATCATCTTTTCCACCCCACATGATTTTATGACACCATGGAATTGCATACTGGCCTTTCTATTTACTGACAGGGACCCAGACTTAGAGAAAACTGCATTTCAGATGACTTGAACTGCAGCTGTATGTCTTGGTCTTATTGAGTTGATGTGACTCTAGTACGAGGTGCTGCTGACAAAAAATTACTATTTGCCATAAAATTGGATTTTTGGAACTAACTAAAAAACCCCCACTATTTCCAGCTACCAATAGGGAAAACAGCACTGTTCCCAAATTCTACAAATAACTGTTATCTAAAAGAAGTAAAAGGAAAGAATTTTAAAACAAATTAAGAACAAGCATGGGATCAAAATATAACACTGCTCTTCCTAGAGTTTAAAATGCTCAGTATAGCAAAAGGCTAGGAATAAGAATCTTCTATATCTATAAGTAATATCTATAAATAATATATCTATAAATAATACTATCTAGAAATAATATCTGTTTCCATGAGTATTATTACTGAATTATTAGTACATAATTACTGATATCGTATTAGAGTATTTTAAAAATATTTCTTGATTGAACAGAACTACTGAGATGATTGATACTCTACTGGTAACACTTGCTAGTTACTTAGAGATTATTAACATCTGATGCTATGTTCATCTATCTGAAATTGTTTCATCAGTTTCTTCATCAAAGTGGAACAAAGAATCCCTTCAATGGGGGACACTTAGAAGCTCTGGGGTCAGAGCATGCAGCGACAGGAAAAGGGCTTTAAAAGGAAAGAGGGTAGGTTTTAGACAGCAGGAAGAAATTTTTTATGGTGAGGGTGGTGGGGCACTGAAACAGGTTGTCCTTTTGGGTACTTTAATCTTACTGCCTTTCTCTACAGGTTACCTAAACGTAGATGAAAGTAAACATTTTTTTAACAGATACCTCCTCTTTTTATTTTCCTTTAAGGCCATGATTTTTGATGTCATATAATATTTTTATATTAGTATAAAATAGAGCTATATTTTTAAAATTCGGTACAATTGCTTTTAGAGGGATTTAATACTTTGCAAAAACACTTCTGTCAATCTGAATGCAAACACATTTGTGCACCCTACTGCCAGGAATAACTCAAAAAAAAAATCCTGTATCTGGGATTGGAAGAAATATTTATAGTCAATTTGACTGATTCACTAAACAGCATTAGAGGTTCATTTGCAAAGAATGAAAAAAGGTCACTTTCAGCTATATTTAGCATAATGCCACTGGACTTGATAAAAAGAATTGCATAAAACCCAAAAATTACATTCTTCACTATGAAAGTGCAACCAGTTATGCATGTATCTCTGTTAAATTAGACTTTTTCAGAATTAAAACTGATAGAGAGAAACCCCAAAGCCAGTAAAATCAACATGAATTTTGGTATTGACTTCCTGAGGCTAGGATATCAACCATGAACTTAGCTCAGAACAACTGTCAGAGACGTTCTAAGGCTATTTATTGCATCTAGGTGATTAAATAAATCCTTATTTATGTAAGATTTTTCATGATAGCTGGATAATTAATATTCCATATATGTATTTCCAAATAATACATATTTCCAAATAATAATATTACATATTTTGATAAAACCAGATAAAATCACAGTATTTTACAGTACCTTATCATGTAAGGACTCTTCCAGATTTTTCCTGAAACTCTCAGATTCTTGAATCAAAACATTCTACAAATAAAAATAAGATAAAAAAATAAGCAAGAAGGAAATCAGAGATATGTTAATGTATCAGATATCACTACGTTCATGTACAAGTTTACAAAGTTCATATATGTTAGACTTCAAAATTTAAATTCTTTAATGCTTCAGCTGGATCATATTATTATATTATACTAAAGCTTAAATTCTGCAAGAATTCAAACATGTAGGAACATGTGTCTTCTAGATCAGCAAAAACTTTGCATCTTGGTTCAACTGACCAAATGCCTCATCTTATACAACCAATTCTCCCAACAACTTCTTTTGGCAAGCCTATTTCTCATTCCACACCACATTTTGTTTCAATGATATAAACCAGAAGTATATCCTCTGAGAAATTCTGAAATACCCTTCTGAAAAACACTGAAAGATTCCCCTCAAACCATACAGAAGGTGAATAATTAGAAGAAGGAGGGATTAAAGAGGGCAAATACAAAGGTCAGCAGCTTAGAGTTTTGCAGGACAACATTGTCTCATATAGTGGACAATCTGTGAATAACATTCCCTCTCCAAGGCTAGATGCTCCTTCTCCTGTGGTGACAGCATTTAATTCTTCCCAGAGGAGGTGAGGTGAAATCAGCATGTTAAAACACTGAAATGATGGCACATCTAAAATGGCCATTCCTCTGCTCTCATCCACCTTCTCTCACTGCCTCATGCAGCCTGTCCCACATTGGTCCTTTCCAAGTTCTTCATCAGGTTCTTGGCTGATAAACACGTGACTCAAAATATTCAGCATTCTCGCAGCTCGTCTGGGAAGACACTTGAGCCCACTCTTGAGTTAAGAGTCAAATGTGTAAGTTGACCACATTTGTGGTAATACTGGTAATACAAAATCAGCATGATGCCTCCATCCTGATAAAAGCAGAACATATGGGAAATATTTATTAAGCTAAACTTTATGCTGCTTTTTGTACTGTACCTTTTCTTCCAGTGCTGCCATTCTCTCTTTCAAGTGTAGTTGCAGACGCTCATTGGATTCTGTCAAAAGTCTGTCTACAGTATCCGATAATCTTTTGTTGTGCTCCTCATTCATTTTTTCTCTTTGCCTTGCCTTTAATGTAGAATAGATGAGACAGATTGGTAGGGTCCAAAATTAACCAGTACAGATATGTATAATTAAAAATAAAACAACTAACTGTAACCATCTAAAAGAATTTGACAGGAAATGTAGCTACAGTTACTGATTAATGCACATCCATTTTTGTAACAGCAGAATGCTTCCAACTCTTCAACTGGACATAAATTAATGTATTAAGATGGTGAAGTAAAGTAGAAAGATGCTGCCAGCAGTGCTACAAACAGAATATTTACAAATAGGTAGTCAGGGGTACATAATGTAGCACTGGGTACACACTGTAGTTACTGGAGTACATAATGTAGCGCTATACTGGCAAATGAAAAGTGCACAGAAGCTGTTTGCAATGCACATACTCTTTGAAGTTCCTGATTCTTCTCTTCAAGTTGAGCTTCTAAGTGTCTCATACGTTCCTCAATGTTTCCATGCCTTTCTTCTGCCTGTAAAAAAATAGAAAAACTCTTTCTGTAATTTAGGTGTCTTTGGAAGTTTTTATTTCACTTAAGTTTAAACAAAACATAAAGCAAGCTACTACTAACTGCAAACTTAGTTTTCAGAAAATAAACTTTATTTAAACAGGCAGCTGAACAGCATTGCTTGAAATGTGTCAGCTACAAAGGCCTGTTACATCCAAGCATCAGCAAAACATTGGAGTTATTTATGAGCAATGAAATCAGCCAAATGTAACATGCAGATTGTGCATGGTTTGAACACAAACCTGCCATCGTAAAATTGTAAGCTCCTGAAGCACTGAACTGCACGATGGTTGATTATCAATTTAAAAAAAAATTTTAAAATGAAAACAAATCAGATGGATTCTATTCAGCAATAGAAAGTAAAGTCCAGTAGGACTACCTTCCTACGTATGGAGATCATTTCTTGTAGTTTAGCTTCCATAACATATTGATAATCATCAGATGAGGTAGAAGAGGTTGGATCAGACTAACAAGTCAAGGAAAAGGAGAGGGACAAAATTGAAAAATCAGAACTAAAGACACTGACACTGAACAGAACACAGCACAGAATGCTTAAAAGAAAAGTGTGACTGAAAATTTAATACTTTTAGCTGACAGATTTTTACATGAAATAAACTACACTGATACTTGGTGAAAAAGATGCAGTTGATGTGGAGAAACTGAAAATAATGGAATGCTAAAGAAGCTATCAACCTACACATGGAATTACAAGGTTAGTGATGGCTGGCTGATGACACACGACTACAGAGTGGATTCAAAGCGATACTGTCTAATCTAATGTTGTTTCTCTCTCTCTTTTTTTTTTCTTTTTTTTTTTTTTTTTTTAATTTTGGTAAACTGAACACCAGAACCAGACTCTCAGAGGCCAACATCAGAAATTCCTGTATAATTCTTCTACCATTCTCTAGGAATGATTACAATGCATAAATACTACATAATGGATCAGTCAGTTACACCACTATGAAATGTCATGGTACATTCCCTAATTTCTAGAAAACAGAAAGAATGCCAAAAGAGACAAGACTCAAGCTTTCATATGCCATTTTGGAATACACTATATAAGGCCTTTCATCCAAACAAACAATATAGTTTTCATCCCTTTGAAAAGATCCACCCTGGTGGATCTCTTTAGAAGATCAAGGTAATCAGATAAAAGAAGAACCTATAAATAAAAATTCATTAATAATAATGAAAAGTTATTACTGAGTATAGAGATGGTAATCCAACCAAAGATTCATTACTATTTCTGACAGAATCTGACCTTATTTGGGTCATTTGTGGCAAAACATGAATATTCATGTTATTGTCATATCAAACAAGTCTATGTTATTATTCAAAAACTAAAAAAGCCCTTTTAAAGAAGGGAAATGCTATATTAGTTTTGTTGCTATGGAAACAGGAATGTGCATAAGGCATACAGAGTGCTACTGATGCCTGAGTTGTGAGCTCGCGCCTGTCAAATGCTATTTCACTCTGTCAGATTCACCCTCTCAAAAAGAGATCTGAACTCCATCTTTAGATGAGCAAACTTTAATATGCACAAGATATACTAATTTTACAGCTGTATTTTTGTGAGACTACTTTTCATATGCTTATCTACTAATGATTCATCAGATTAAATAGGAATAGGTATCAAAGTAATGCCAGATGTTCATAATAACTTAAAATTAACAATAACTTTAATTCAGTAGTATTATCGGTACCAAAAATTCATACAGAAAGCAATCCTGTGATCTAGTAATTTATAAACATATACTGCAGCTTTTTATATGAAAACATCCACATAAGAAAATTCTGCTTTGTATAAATACATGAGTAGTGCTTAACCTTGAAGACCACTAGTATTATTTTCATAGTATATTCATAAAACTCATATTCTTGCAAAATTTAAGGGAAAGTCTTTGTAATTAAACTAATTTAGAAGTGCAGTTCTTGTTTCTGATCATGAAGCAGGCATATTGCGATGTACTTGAATTTATTTAGTAGCTAAAATATTTTTTCTGTTTATTACAATTTGGACCACCAACAATACTTCTATGGTCTTCTTCAACTTATCTCTCCATTTTGCTTATTAGCTGGTTTCAGCACACCAGTGCTAATGCACTCCTTCCTCTCCCAGTGGGGTAGTTAGAGATATAGGGTTGAAAAAGTTAAGTCTCTGTGACCGCAGAACAGATGTCTTTCTACAGTGACCAAGTTTTATCCTGCTCCGCAGAGAACAGAATTTTCCCCTTTCGAGATCTGGCTGCAGCATTAGTTCAAGGCCACCCCTTAATGCATTTGCAAGGGTCATGAGATGAACTGAAATCACCAAAGCTCTGAGAAGACTTAAGTCATTATGCATCTTTTGAAGCCAATTCCATAGAGGCAGAAGCAGAACCCACTGGGGACACCTTCCTACATTATAAGCTTCATAAGCAGACTGCGAAACTTAAAAGCAAGTTACTTAAACTTCACTGCTTCTGATGCCTTAAGAGGCCACCTAGAACAGAGGCTAGAGAGTTAAAGGAATAAAGTAGGTACTTATTAAAAGGCCTTCAAAGGATACACCTTGGGCAGTACAAGAGCCTGGCCAAGGCTACACCCAAGATGGACAACAAGTGATGAGTTTTTAGACTTTTATAACTTTTGGTCCATTTACGTATTAGGGTTAAATGTCCAATTACAGCTTCAGGTTATGAAGTCACGTCCTCCCAGGCTGCTCTTCTCAGTTCGCTGTTTATAACTTTTGGGCCTGAAGCTGCAACGGTGTTCTTGGTTCTCGGCCTGGAAAAGGATTGTTTTGCCTAACTGAACCATGAGGAGAACGTGCTAACATTTTATATGAAGGTCAGAGTTACGTACTACTGCAGTACAGAGCCTGGAAAACTGAAAGCTAAAGCTTAAGGCATCACTTCAATACACTTTAGTGCAGCTTAATGCAAAATATGAAGAAAACTAAAGTAAAACCACTAAGTTCAAAGGGATCTCATTCACATCCTCTGAAATGTGGTGCTAACCTGTCCTTGAAAAGAAAGTCTGTCTAGTTGGCTGTATAATTTATCTTTTTTTTCAAAATAAAATGTAATTTTTTCAGTCCAAACCATGCCATAATAGCTTATCTGTCTAGCGGATCTTCTCAATGCAGAAAATAATTGTGATATTAGGTCTAACAATTTTTGGGAAAAAGAGAAGGAATGAAATTATTGTCAGAATTATGTACGTTATCTGAATTCTTATATAGACAGTTTTCTTGAAAGAACATGATGTTCCCTTAAGATTCTTATAGCTACCTATTATTTCATAAGTTTTTCCTGCTTTAATAATTCAGCAAGGTATTTTCATCTCTTTGGTAGAACAGAGAAACTTGAAAATTAATTAAAATTCAAGATGCCTTAGAACCAAATCAAATGTCACTATTCTAAACACTGCAAATGTATTAGAATATTTTATGTTTCCTTTATGTACCATTTGTTCTGAAAGTGTTATTCTGTATCACTCTAAAAGGACTGAATTATTTTATAGACAAAATACTCAATAATCAGGCTCAAGTGCTTGTCTGGCAGAGAGCATGCACAGGTGCACAGACTTAGTATCTACTCTGGGCTCTAAAGCTGCTTAGTGATTTTAACCACTGGTTATTATGTGCCAACTGCAGGCACAGCTCCCTGCAGCAGGGATGGGAATCAAAAGGGCAGACAGAAGCACATGTACCTACTCCCATCTTCTCTGGCCTGCAGGAACCCACCTGCAGACAAAGACCTCCAGGAGCCAGTGTCCCCAGCTGGAACACACTCCCAAAATGAGGATTGCAACACCTCCCACCACCCTTTACATTGAGGAAGGCCCCCAACCAGGTCTCAACGAGACCCTTCCAAACAAAAAATCCCCTGTAGCAAGTCAGTTGTTAGATAAGGGATTTGCAAATCCTTCCCTAAGGACTTCCCCAGCCCATCCAGTTAGGATTGACATACCTGTGGCCGTTACACTCTTTTGTTGCTCATTTACCTTAGTGAGACCCAGAGATTGTAAAGAATAAACTCTTTGAGAGACTCAGCATCCTATAAAGTACTGAATGCGTCCATCTCAGCTTTGTAGTTTGAGGCACAAGGCAGAGACTGAGACACCAGTGCTTGTCATGCTTTCGCAGCGGAATTTTAGGCACACATGAGACAGCACAGACAACTGTGGACTCTGAGATTCCTAAAGAAAAGCTGGATTTCTTCCAACTACTTTTACTAGGAATTAATTGAGTTAAAAACCATAAAGTAGGGCTTACATGACTACTTGCTTGGTAGGCCTTACCCTACATTCTTTCTTCAATGTAAGCCTTGCATGCCTGTTTGCTCCTACTCTGTACAGAAGGATTAATAAGACACATTGCAGGATATTCAGCAACTAGCATTTAAAGCACTTAGCCAGAACATTCAGTTAAAAATAGATTTGGGAAATCATGCACCTTAAACTGAACTAAAAATATATGGACAAAAGCTAATGATATCTGACCCCTAGGAGAAACCAGCATGAGTCTTAAAATTGACTTTGCACTCTCTAGGCCATGGAGTAGCCAGCACAAGGTAGTAACAGCCAGGAAAACTCTGCATTGAGGGAATACCAAAGCAGCTTGTGTGATCTCTAGCCCTGTTAAAACTCTGCTGGTGCTCCTGCTGCTAATGCGCTCACAAAAAAGATGTTGCTTTCACATCACCTGCTACTGATGGCACCGCACATTTTCTAGGTCTTTGTATCTTAGTTGAAAAGAAAGAAATCCATATTCAGATGCAGAAATCACTTGTATAATATAGGTGCCATATTTATTTTTTTTTGTGCTGAGTTGCAGGAACAAATCTAAACTTCTCTAATGGTACAATCAATCCCTCCAGTTTTGAGACCTTGACTTTCTTAACACTTGCACTCTCCAGTTTTTCTACTGGCATCCTATGCTTTAGTCTATCCTTGGAATAAAGGCGTTACTCACAAAGAAAGAATGCATTATTGAACTGAGCTATGAAATTGAAGGTGAAAATAGGTGATCAAGGTGAGAGAGTTGCAACAGCTCACAAAGTTATCAGCTCCTTGCTCACATCTAACCTGTTAACAATGTGAGAAAATGAATTGGCTCAGGTGTCCCCTTTTTCTAAACCCCAACCTTTCAGTCACTAGATAGTCACATCTTCTTTCCCCTCCTTTGTTTTCCCACTACTTTCTGTACCTCCTAATTTTTCAGTAAGCAGCTCCTTCAATTTAGCTTTGTCAAAGTTGCTTCTTTCATTTCCTCCTCCTATCAGGGCAAAGTCTCCCAAGAAAAGGGAAGCAAAGTAAGAGGGGTGTTTTTGAGAAGACAGAAGATATTGTAAATGTGAAAATTTCTTTGGCTTCCCTCCCTTTCAAAGATTTTGGTTTTTTTTTTTTCGCCTCTAAGAGGATTTATCAACTTCTCCTGTCAACACATCATATTTTCTCTCTCTTGTTCTCAGAGAGATTTCTGTATTAACTATATCCACTCCTTGCAGGGGAACTTCTTTCCCCCCTTTCCATCCTCTTCATGGCAGACATACTCCTTTTACTTGTTTTGCAACTTCTTCCCTGCTTAAAGCAAACCACATCCCCACACTGACACAAAACAAGCATTATGTCCCACTTGCCTCCAACTCTCAAGTCATTTTTTATCACCTTTAAAATTAACTGAAGGTGTTACTATGCTAAATGTGGTTTATTATGGTATGGTTTCCTCTTCTCCATCTCAGTGCTTCTCTAGAGCAGCTGAAAAGTGTGGCTGGTATTTTGGTGACCTGCATACAGGAATGATGGTGTCAAATGCTGACTGCTGTCCTGTGATCAGAGAAGTGCCTTGGTACCTCTGCTGCACAAGCACCCAGGGGGTGAAGGACTGCTACTGGGGGTGAGTGAATGGAAGTAGGTGGATGCTGGCCAGCCCTAATAGACCCCTTCCTTGAACACATGCAAGGAGAAACTGTGTTTGATAGACTAACCATCTGAAGATTCTGGATGCTCCAATGTCTGTCCCTTCTGGGGAAAATAAACATTTTGTGGAATAAAGAAAGGTTAATACAGGAGGAAGGTTCTTTCTACTAGGAAATGCCTCTTCTCCAGAGTAGGCAAACAGACCAATACTGTGAGAGTGAGTAGAAGGTGGCTCAATGAGTCATGGGAATCTAAATCTTGGGATACATGCTGAGAGCTGTGCCACTTGTCATGACCAGACAGGTACCAGTGTGATGGCCAGGCGGGACAGTACAGGATATGGGATCATGCTGTTCCAGGTTAGTCTGCCAGGGGCTGACTAACCCTCCAGGTGTCACCCAATGGGCAGAACAGTGAAAACAAAGCCAAAGAAAAGTTCAAATGACTCAGTTAAATTTATGGGTACTTATCCAAGTTCACTGTATAGTCCAAATTTTTGGAAGTTCACTCCTTATGAACTAATTTGGGCATGGAAAAGTAGCAGAAAGACATATCACTAGCTTATATACCTAAAAAAAGGAAAACCAACTAATTTTAAAAACTGACACAATAGAAGGATGGCAATTTATATCCTTCATTTGCAGAATCCCAACCTGGATTTATTATGAGCAAGAGTATTAAAAAAATTGAATGCAGAACTGCAACATGCAACTTTTAAATCTATGAGGGTTGGTGTGGAGGTGGGAAATAATCACAGACAAATCCAGAACATATTTTTTCTGGTTTATCTCCACATGTAAGTAATTGTTCTTATATTTTACCCACAGCATAGCAGATAACCTACATTACTTTACTTTAAAATACACATAAAGCATGTTTGGCTTAACTCACCTCTTCCATATGATTGCAACCCCATTAATCTCAGAGAAGCCACTTTCATTGAGATAGTACTAAAGGAAGGAGAATCAGTTTTGACTTTTTTTTATTTTTTTTTTAGTGCAGAAACAGTAGCTGATTTGGTGGCTCCTCTTTTACTTGGTATACATAGACACTGCAGTGATCACATAGCTCAGGCAGACAGGCTTTGGGGATTCTGCAGCCAGATAATTTGAGTGCTACAGACAGCAGGTACGCTGGCACAAAGTCCAACCAAGGCAAAATTAATTAAGCATTATCCAGCCCCTCAGGCAGGACTTGCAGTTGTCAGTGAATAGCTGACCACGTGTAAGAGCACACCAGCTAGCTAACTTAAAACTGCTTAAGTAAGCTGCAGTGATTACAGCATCCTTGGTTCAGAGCCTCATTTATGTGATCCATGAAAAGTAATGGACTTTAAACTCCAGAGCTCTCAAAGCAGCACTTTAATAAGCTCTGCAGTTTGCAAAGAAATTGTACACAAAAATAAACACATAGGTCACAGGCTGATTTAGCCTATTGGCCAAATTATGGCATTCTTCTTCACGTCATATATTCCAAGGCAGCACAATTTTAAATGAAATACTTATCTTCAGTTTTTTATGTAATCACTGAGAAATGAGCAGAACCAGCATTACAATCTATTTCTCAGAGTTTCTTGCTTGGCAAAAACTTTGATCAAGTATATCAAAGTGAAATGGGGTGGATCATCAGCTCTGTTGACAGTTCTCTAACCACATCCCATGAAATAATGTAAGAAGACAAACGGAGATGTATATTGCAGCTTTATGGTCACAATAACAACAGTATCTCATGGAAGTCCCTGAGTGTTCTGCATGGTTGAAATGGGATTTCTTCTTACGATTTTTGTCATTAATATATGTTCAAGGAAAAATGCAGTTGCAAGAAAAGACATGCTTGAGACTGCCAAATACTTACTGGTGGCTAATTGCTGGAGAACTTATTCAGGAAAAATCCTCTTAAAATAGAAAACAGTATTTTTAAGCTACTGAGGGCATTAGAATATATGATTATTTGCTGAATCAGAAACAATTGGAAGAAAAAAAGTTAAAATGCCAAGGGATTGCTCTTCTGTGCACCTGAGTTTTTATTAAAATCCAATTAAATTTATTTGGTATTTCATGTAGCTCTTTTTGCTGATTCTTCTTGCCTTCCTCCCCCCACCACCTCCCCCAATTTTCAGTCTTTGTTTCAGATTGACACCCATTCATACAAACCTAAAGTGACAGCACAAACCCTTGATTACTGAAAGCCTTCCTTTCTTTGTTTCTTCTGCTTAACTAAATTACTTAAAAGTCAGATTTTATTAATGAGCTGCTCAGCATTTAAGGCTTCACTAAATATGGAAAACAAAGGACCTGCAAAAGGTCCATCAAATTTAAAAACAGCTCAGCACATAAATAGAAGCATTCCTTGGCAATAGAGAAAGGAAAGCTTAGATAAATCAGAATTATATATTATACAGTTACTTAAATGCATTTTTCTTTGTCTGATTTCAAGAGACAAAGCATAAACCACATTATATATCTTTAGGAAGGTGATAATACGTGAGCTATATTATTAACTACATGCACACCTGAAAGCATTAGAGTCTAAATATAAAAAGCATTATTGAAAATTTATCTTCTTTTTTCTCTGTAAGATAGCAGCCATATAACAAATTTATAAGAAAAAAAATAAAAATCACTCCGTTTCACATTTTTCTTTGCAGATATATGATACAAAGAATTATTCAAAGCAAACCTTGTAAGCATGTACTGCAAGTTGCCTTCATTTGTGTTGCCCAAATGATCCCACGTGCCACAAGGATTTGATTTTATAGCACTTACTGCAATAAAACTAGGTGTTTTTTATATACATAGTATAGGAAAACATCCAGAAGAACTAAGTACCTGTAGGAAAGGGACTTCCCTCACTGCCTACCCTTAAATTAGAAACTGCTGCACAGTAAAATGAGTCCTCCTAGAGTAAGTAATGCTCAATTGTACTGGAAATACATGACTCCCTTGTAAGCACAGCCTAGGCTAACTTACAAATAACTACTTTTCATGTCATAAAAATGCTAAGAATTACAAACACGGCATTGAAACCATTCCCATTCACATGTTTATCAAGAAGCATTTTCTTCCTTCAAATTGGCACAATGTTACCTTTGTTTTGTCCTTAAGGTGAGGAATCAGGCTGCAAATCAGTGTTAAACAATGGGGCTTCTGAAGTGAGCCTATTTCTCAGTACCTTAGTCAAAGCTGCAATTCTCTGAGCCAGTTCAGCCTCCACTTCAGGTAAGGTTTCAGCTTTCCTCATCGTCTGCTGCAGCTTCTGCTCAGCCAGCTCGAGACGCTCCTGCAGCTGCCTGTTTTTGTCTTCCAACTGAAAGCCAAAGATAGATAAACAAGTATTAAAAAAATAAATATTAAGGATTTCCCTTCTCTTTCTAAAGTATAAGTGCAATGATAGCAAAACTCGCTAACAGCAAGACAACCTTTAGTGTGGGAGAGGTTACTGGAGAGGTATTAACTCAAGCATGGAACAATGTAGGCTGCCTGTCTTATTACTCATTTGAGGCTCAAGAATCTCACAAAGGTGAATAAAAGGACTTGTAAGATGGCACTAATTAAGATGAAAAAGCTCCACTGATAGATGGGGTATTTATCTGGCAAAATAATAGTACTGGCACCAGTAAAATGAGGATTTTCTAAATGGAAATACAGCCCATCTTACAGAAAAAATTTACATATGAGCTAAAATGGGAAAGAAATACAATTCTGAAAGGATAGAATTCCCTGAATAAATTGCCAAACATAATTTTCTGAATGAATGGCAATCACATATTACGAAAAGTTAAAATTGACATTTCGTTCATTACAATAAATCTCTTTTAACAAAGGTGAAATTGAGTGAGCTGTGATAACTATTAGAGAGAAACAGGAGGACTTTTTATAATTGCAGCATCTTCTGGCCTACTGAGATGCAGCACACAATTAAGATTTTTTTTATGGTGGCTGCTTTCTTGTTCAATCCAGATAACACAAGGCAAAAGTGAAAAAGGAGTGTGATTTTAGATTCTTTTTTAATCCTTCTAAAAGCATGGAAAGCCAGGCTTTTCTCATCTCCATGCTGCAAATCAACTTTAAGTTTGACTATGTATACTCTAAGCCTAGCTGCTTTGATTCCTGCTTTGAGCAGGCAGAACTCTGCAGCACAGCATGACTTGGGCAACAATAAGAACTCAGATACAAGTATCTTACTTTTTCCATCGTTGGGTGGCTTTTCCCGTGACAATTGAAGATACCTCTTAAAATAGTCTAAGGAAGCTGGCAAAAGCTGGAGAGTTTGAGTTCTGATGGTTTAGTTTCCCTGAAGAAGTATCAAATACATATATACACACACAGATACAGGGAGATGTGCGCTTGTGTGTGCAAATATAGCTGCATACAACTATAGAAGCAGAGATTATCACATCACACAGGCTAATTTCCCATATAGCACTTTAAATTGTTTAAAGACATGCTAGGAAAAAAAAAAAGTCTGATGCTGAGGCTGGGTTTGAATGATACAGTATGATTTATATTCACTTCATGTTTGCTTTCAGTTTATATCATATTCTTCAAATTACAAACCAGTGTTCTATGCTCAGTTTACATTCCAGATTTGGAATCACCATGGAAACAAAGTACCATGAGAGAAAGCTGCACAGTCATGTTATAAGCTTTCTTAAAACATATTCTCAGTTAATTTAGCTTTTTAAAATTGTATTTGTACTCTACTCATTTGTAAAATCATTAGAATATATTGTATGCAAATTCTGATCTTTTCTGCAGAAAGGAATTTTTTCAGCTCAAGCCGTTTTTTAGAAAATAAAATTCCAAAATTGCCACATAAGAAGCCAAGATATTCCACTACCTAGAGAATAAGACTGTGTGCACTTATGCAAGACTATCAGAAAACACAGTTATTTTCCAACATTGAATGTACACATTGAAATTATTGTTCACAGCTGTAGAAGCTGATGTGAAATTTAGAGATGCTGAACAATTTAGGATTTTTTAGATTAAGTGATGTGTGGACTAAAACTGAACAGATTAACCTAACAGAAACCTCTTGTAGTAAATTGCCATCAGTTTTCATTGTGCATGAAGAATACAAGTGGCTGATGCAGGTGCCGCACCTGGCGCAGGATGGCTTCCTTGTTGGCCAGCTCGTTTTCCAGCTTGTCGTTCATGTCGTGTATGGAGGTGGATTCTCTCTGAGCACTGAGGTAGCGCTTCTCCAGCGTAGTTATTCTTTCTTCCATATCCTCCTTTTGTGCCATTGCCTAATGTGACAGAAAAACCCCCATCAGGAACCATGCAATTAAAATGCTGCATAATTTTATACCAGTTTAATTTTCATGCTAGCAGTAGACAGGGTTGTAAGGTAGGCTTAGTAGTTTATCTCCAGTTTTAAAGAGAGTTCTTTGGGATTTCTTGTAGCTATGAAACAGAATCACAGGATCAGCTACGTTGGAAAAGACCTTTGAGATCTTCAGGTCCAACCTATGACACAACTCCACCTTGTCAATTAAACTGTGGCACTGATACTATACCCAGTCTTTTGTTGAAAAGGAACAGCGTAACAGGAAGATAACTAATGAATACTAAAATTGACTCCAGACGGCAACCATCCACACATAGTGAGAAAATCTGCCTAAGAGATGATATACTGAGAAACATCAAAATTTAAGAGGAGGAAAGAGATGGAAATTTAAATTTTACTTTCATTTATTAAGAGAAAGGAATACATTTCTAGTACCATTACTCAACTTAAATTTTCTGTCTCCTATGTTTAAGGGCTTTCATCAGTGCTCAACTTTTGCTGCTCATATACATTGGCCTCTATCAGTTTGCAGTGGATATCAAAGGAACAACAATCAGGAAATATGAGGTGAACATGGTGAATTCCTTACCTCTCTAATGTCTCTCTGGTATTTACTGTTCATTTCCTCTGTTTTAATGAGCTCCTTTCTTGTAGTCTCTGCTTCTTGCTCTACCTCTCCCACCCGAGAAGACAGTGCAGCCAAACGCTCCTTCATCTGTGCCATTTCATAGTTTTGCTTTTCCAACAGCTCCTGAAGCTCAACAACTTGACTGGCTTCATCATTTGAGTCTATTGAGCCATTGGATAGGCGCTGGTAATGGAGAAGAAACATTTATTAATTATCTTTTAATGTGGGCTCTAGCTAAAAAATTTCTAAAGAAAAGACAATTTTAGAAATTATCAAAGAAACTAGGAAGGGAAAAAAACATTTTCACAGTAGATAAGATAGGTACAGCTACAAAAAAATCACAGAACATTAATTCATATAATTGAATTCCAGAAAGTAGCATCACAGAGAGATGTAAATGCTTGCATTAAGAGCAGAATACTACACATAAAAAGGTTTAGTTTGGCATTACGACTATTTGAGTACAGATTACAACAATACTTCTAAAAATCACCAAATTGCTTTCATTGGTCTTAATTAAACTTACATAGCACTTTAGTGTAAATAAAGTTTATATCATTTGCAAAATATACCATGCTGCAGACAGGAAACAACATTAATAAATCACAAACTCAGTGTACCAGAAAGTGCTTTCAGTCTGGACAACATACTGGTGAGATTTACATTAGAAACAAGTTCTGCTGAAGTAATTTATGTGCTGCTAAAAGCCTTGGTGTGAATATAGCTACAAAGAAAAAAAAAATCAAAATTCCATAACACATGCTGCATTTGCGATATGATCTCAGCAATATGATTTATATTCCAAATGAATGATTTCAGGATAGAAGTGCATTCACCAGCAGGACTTGCTGGTATTGCCTCATTTCAACAGATATTAACATTAACATTTTCCAGCATAGGCTAAGCTTATGGTTTCAAACGAATTTAATACTCTCATGTGAAAAAAAACCAGGCATAATGAACAAAAAAATATCAGAAATATTTGATTTGATCTGCAACATGAAAAAATAAAGCCGAAGTGCCTAACCTGGCATTAACTTTCTTGATTATGTACAATTTTATCAGCAAAATTTGTATTATGAAGCACAGGAGCAAAGTATTTTGCTGTAACTATAGTTTTAAACATCACAGAGAAATATTGGTCCTTAAAGGTCCTTATTGTTCTCAGGTGATAACGTGTACATCAATGTAGATATGAAAAATTCTTAGCAGCATCTGAGGGGAAACCAGCTTTCATTAGCACTTTGTACTATTATTGTCTAAATATATTTATACAGAAATCCTCTGGCACATTCTAAGAATATTAAATAATGGCTTCAACAGCATTCTTTTCTCAATCAGCCATAAAATGAACCCAGATCAAGATCACCTGCCCCACTGTTCATGACTGAACAAAATTACTTTAAAAATTCACTACATCAAGTAACTCAGCTCAAAAGTTGTATTCTTTATACTATCTAATTATATTTTAGATATTTTATATTAGCTTCTGAACCATTGTTGATTTACTTTCAGGACACCATGGCAAGATGACCATAGCAAATTAAAAACTTATTTACACTTATTTTGGTATTTTGAACGTGTTCAATTATTGTGCTTGAATCAAAATGCTATTAATATGTAGCAGTCACAAACTGAACAGTACTCAAATTCTCAAACAGGATAAGACAACTAAACCATCATACTTTGAAAATTTTGAAAATTTAAGATGAAGATTTATCTATGACAATTATAATCTCTTTTACAGTTATAATCTCATACAGCAATTTTAGCAGTTTCCACGGGTTAGAAAATTTTATCTTGCAAGGAATTTGCCCTGCAGTTCTCCGAAGAGCAGTCCAGAAATTCTGCAAAGTTATAATAAGCCAAAAACCAAATCTCAAATGCAATAAGTGGCATATGTTCATGTACCTTATGTGACATAAATCCTGTTAATTATGAAATGGCAACCCGTGGGATCTGGGAGTACATTCACTGCAAGAGAAGTATTCTCCTTTCATTAATGAAACTTTTTTCCTTAAGATATGAATAACTAAACCTCATAGAAAGTAAGTCTGAAGAACAATTTTTTTCTACAAATTTACTTGATATTTGACATTTCTGGAAAGACAAGTGATATTGCAGTTACAATTTGTCTCTCACCACTAAACCAATGCTGTGATTGACAATTATGTTTGCATGTACTTTGATCTATGCACATTAACTTCCCTCTTAGTTCTTTGATGAACTCTTTTCACCAAGTGCTTTAATTCTAATCATCATTCAGCTTTGCTTTAAATTTTTCCTGTATTCATATATAGAGCTGGTTGGCATTTAAAATTTCCAACTTACTAAAAACATCAACATTTTAGTTTTCCTTAGTAAGATCAGAATTTTTAAAAAGCTTTTGTAAAGACATAAATAAAATTTTAAAAACTCAGTTTAAAATCTGGTGTATTTTGAATTTTGAAGCATACTTTAGAAGTTTACCAAGGGATTTTAACTGACATTTTGTCACTTTTATGCCTTGCTATTATTTTATGATATATCCATTATATAGGTACGTTACATACAGCAATCACTTTGAAAGACCTAATTCAAGAAATACCTGATATAACATTCCTCAGTTTTTTAAGGAGGGCTTTTATCAACAGTTATGGTAATAATTCCCCTTCTCTCCCCCACAAAAATAGCTTGAACAAGAATGTGAAAATATACTGTGTCAGTAGAAGGAAAAGGCATTCTGTAGATGGTTATTCCAATTCACTTTCTGAATGAGTGAAAGGAGCAGGAACCTCCCCTTCTCCTGAGAAGTTTCCTATGGAATAAGCTGGAAGGACAGAACTGCAGCATCTTCTCTATCATCAGTTTTATGAGTAATGTCCATGTTTGATTGTTTTTCTTGTTCGTTCTCTTGCTGAATTTTTTTAATCTGGTTGAAATTTTTTGTTTCGTGGTATTTAGGAGCTTCTAGTTGTGGATGCTGTCCATCAATTTCAACACCTTGCAATTAATAAATCAATTACAATGTTGTTGCTTTATAATAATTACAATCTTTTGTAAATAAACTATTAGTTGAATGTTTGAAACAATGAAATCGAATGGATCTCTGCTAATTATTACCTGAAGCACTACAGGAGAACTTTTCAGAAAAGCATACTCAAAAAAAAAGTTTAAAAATAGACATTCTTAACTATCATATCCCTATACTACCCCAAATGGCCAAAAATGAAAGAAATAGTGTCAAATTAGTTGGGGTGGTGGAAAAGAAAGTACTGGAAGTAATCTGAATCAATGAGGAAATCTTTAAAGAACGAATGATAAAAAACACTTTATAACTGGTCAAAACATTCTAGCAGAGAAAAAAAAAATATACATGGTGCCTAGATCTATCTTAGAAGTTAATCATCCAGATGAAGTCTTCAACAAATTTTAGGATGCTGTTTATCAAAAGTGGTCATGAAAAAGCTATACATGGACACACTCCTTAAGTTCAATTAGTTCTCAGGAAAGAATCTAAGACCAATGGCTACTTTTTCTCGCAAAAAGAAATGTGACAAGCAGCTCACATGCTTCAATGCTTTGAGGGTTTTTTGCTAACTGGTTTACCCAACATAAATAGTCCATCTGTTCCTATCACATTTACTTATTGAGACTTCAATGCTGCAGAAGTGGCATCATCACAAAATTCCCCCCTCATCTTTCCTGCCTTCTACAGACGTGGCAGGTGCACACAGCTGCAGTGTGTGCTCACTGCTGCACACACTGGGAGGCCTCTGGCCTCTGCTCCTGCCCCTTTCCACAGCTTTCTCAGCCACACGAGAAATCTGGATGGCATTGGACTGAAAGGATCAAGAGAAGCGTAAGACATCTTTCCTTGTGCTAGGTAAGAGCAAACAAAGGTTTATGAGCAATGACATCTCTACCAGCAATGCAGCACTTGTACCCCTCCTCTCATGGGAAGAATGAGGGAAAGAGCAACAGCAAGAGGATGCCTGTTGTGGGTTTTTGTTAACTAGGATTTTTTTTTGCTTTTTTTTTCTGTTACATCAGCATATCACCACACTAGATAAGTAACTGATATTGCATAAAAAAACATGGTTATTACTATGGGTTTTAAATATACTCTTCCTTCACAAAGAAAGCCTTTACACTCACTCAAATATAGTCAAACAAGATAGGAGGAGAAACAAAAAGAATGGAATAATCATCAAGTAAGTCTGATGACAATGATGGTACTAACTATAACAGATATAACACTGCATAGACAGGGATGAGGGGATAATAGGGATTAAACAAGAAATATCTGGGGGGAGAAGTAAAATTTTAATTTCTTAAGGTCTGTGGAAAAGGAGGAGAAAAATAAATGTTCCCTAGCACTGAAAAGAATGAAAAAGGAAAATAACATTGCTGGAACATTATTTTCTTTCTTTCAAGATCCAAAAAGCACAGCAGTAAGACAATCTGCTGTTCACATAGGAGTGTCAGCAGGGAGAAGGACTGCAAATTGGAGCATTACAAATAACCATAAATCCCCCCTATATTGCTGCTGGTCTCTACATGAGATAATAAAAGGGAAAGCAGCTGCAGACTAGGTTACTAGAAAAAAACAAGAAGAAAAGGAACAAAGTGTAAAAGGAACACCATGAGAAATTGTAAATTAAGGCTAATCTGGAATACTTTAGTCTTTGTTAATCTAAATCTTACTGCCATTTCAATTAAACAGTAGCAAAATAACACTGGAGGCAAACTAACTGGAGTTACACATAAGGTAAAATAATTAAAAAACCCAAAGGACCAGTAGGGACACCAGTTTACAGAAGTTTGCAAAAGAAATGGTGAAATTGTCCCAAGTTATACAGCAAAGTTCTTTTCCATTTTATTCTGTAGAAAGAACTTATGTTCAACTAAGTACGTGGTGAAATGTACATGAAAACCTAATTTTTAAAAAGGAAATCCCAAGAACAGTAAAAAAGCATCTCCAGGTGATCTTTCCTCTCCAGCTGTAAAACATCTGACACAAAATATTTGGTCTAAATACTATCCACGAGTAATTACTTACATATTTTGTGCTAGACTTTAACCTCAGAGAGTGGTGAGGAGGAAACCAATAAGATCTCATGAGGTTATTTGTGAACAACCTGCAGCAGAGAAATTAATGTGACAGAACTCCTCATTTGTGTCTCTTAGTTTTGGTTGTACAA